GTGTAGTGCCTGGCAGAAAAGGGATCTTGGGAGCCATTCCCCTTGAATAGACATGAAAATAACCATTGTTAATTGTTTGTTTGCTTGTTTGTTTAATAACTTCAACTTTTATTTACTAAAACATATTGATGAACTTACTCTTTCAATCACTCCATGTTTGTACTCGAAAATAGGTTTTATTATGGAAATGCAGACATACACTTTAATTTATGGTATCACTCTTTTAATGCTTTTAGAAAAGGTGAATGAACTGTTAGTGGTAACGAAAGTAATCAGATAATGGTAGGAATAGATATAGCAAAACAGCACAATTCAAGAATACGTGCCAGTGAAGTCTGTCAATCCTAATACAAAGCTGATCAGATGTCTGTGCTGTAGGAAAATAAAAACAAAACCATAAACCTCAGCCTTCCTGAGAATGGTTTGCTACCCACGTCAGTCTTTTTAGCAAATGAGATGACTAGATCAAGTAAGCGTTCTTCTAACATTAGTGACGTAATAAAGACCTGGGTTTAAAATGTTTCCTGTTTACTTCTGTTCTGAATACAGCAGTTTCAGGGTAGCAGGTTCTAAAATCCTGTTCTAGGATATGTTCAGGTATATCTATGGAATGAATTGTTTTAAGGTTCTTGGTAAATTGTGGATTTTTTTTCTTTTAGAAAATAAATATGTAATTCATTTTTATAACCATAGGTTTATAAATCTGATCAAATCACAGTTGTTTCATTAGACTGAAGTAGAATTAAGATTAATATGCATCATTAACATGTTCACTTTGAAATATATTTCATATACAATATATTAGAAGCTGTGTATATTAGGATGCATGCATAGCTCATGAAATTTGAGGTGAAAATAGTCGTTCATATATAGGTCATCAGTTTGAACACTAACCAGATCAGTAATGCCAAAAGTTATTACCAGAAGATAAAGATTTAGTGGCCATAAGTACATAAAATGAGTTATCATAATCTCTTTGTCACTCTTGTTAGCAATCTCTATCGAGAGTTTAAGAGCTACTGTTGGAGGCACAACTATTTGCCTTCGAGGTCAGAGTTTCAGCATGGTAGCTGGACATTGTGATGAAGCTTCCAGTTTCTTTTGTGTGCTGTAACTTTCTTTTGATAAAAATAATAAATAGAAGAATTCAGTCTCTAATGTTGTCAAAATTGCACTTTTTTCTAAGTACTGTATTCACAGTCAGATTTTTAAAAAATTCATCTTATTTATAACTAAATTTTAAGATGAAAGATTATTTTAAATATATACTTTTTAAAAATTCAGAATTTTTTGCACGGAGTGCTACATTATTTTACTAGTTATACACAAAACAGGGAAATTGTTGAACAAAGTATATGCTACTGTCAAGAACTGTATGGCTGAGTTTTACAAGTACAAAAGTCAAGAATCCTACATCTAATGTTACTTGGCCTTCTCATGCATGCACAATATTTTGTATGTGTTCTGTATATGCTAAGTTTTAATATCTTCATGAATATATTCATTATGGCTAACTGTTTTTCTTTACTCAGTAACCATAATTAGATGCTAAAAATAAAAGTAAAAAGGATAGCTAACTCGACTCTCAAATGGGACAGAATCATTTTGAGAACTGAGCAAGAGGCCTTGAGTTTAGGATTATTGACGTCTAACTCTAGTGCTGGCTTGGACTCTGGCAGGACTATGGATGTTGTTGGACTAGGGAGGTCCTCCCCCCTCACCCTCCAGGAGGCCTGTCAAGGAGCATCTGACTGCAGTGTTCTGGTGGCCCTTGGGCTAGCAGCAGAGTCCCTGGGACTAGCAGTGTAGCCTCAGGGGGAAGAGGAATCTGGTAATCTTCTGACATACCCCAAGAGAGCCTGGAGTCTGTCAGTAGAGGGGCTAATGTCCCCAGGTCCAGCAAATTCTCTCCTTTGGGATCAGTTAGGTCTCAAGGGTGCTGGACCAGGGTAGTCTAACCTATAATAAGACAAAAGGCACATTAAAAAAAAAGACAATTAAAATCCATCACATGTTAATTATAACATTTTAAAGACATCTTAGTATAGATTTTTTTTTCTATATGAGATTTCTGCAAATCATCTTACCTCTTGGTGTTTCAGCTATAAAATGGAGGTAATAATGCAATTCAACTTGCAGAGATATTCAAAGATATATTAATGTTTGAACTATGGTTTGGAAATGTAATCTATAACGTATTATTTTTCTTCAGATTTACCAGTCATGAGAAATATTTACCCAAAGTGGAGCTAGTTTCAAAAAATTATAACACATTTTTAATGCTAGTGCTCTTTGAACTATAACTATTGTAAATTCTATTAATAAAGTACCGTGTAAATAAATCAGGGAAATAAAAGTGACTGACAAAATAAGGTATTTTTTAAGTATTTATGTATACAATTATATATAATATGGAGTTGCTTTTAAACTACGCTTTAGAAGCTTCTGTAAACTTGTGCAACTAAGTATGTCAGAATCAGGACATACTAAATCGAGAGTTGAATGTGACATATTAACTTCACCCCTTTCTGTGAGTGCTCTGTGAACTAGTGTTTAATTATGTGATCATCATATGTTATTTGTCACAACATGACATCATCCACATTTTACTATAGCTACATATTTATCTGAATATCTTAACTACAACAGACTACATTGGTTGTGCCAGATGCAGAAGGCGTGAAAGTCATTTTTGTACAGTTCACATAGTAAACGAGGCACTGCCTTGTCCCACATGAAATTCATAATGAATTTGGTAAAGGTTTCTGATTATCCCCACCTTATTTAGTGCACACCTTATTCTGTATGTCAGTGATGGGTAGCGTTGCCAGGTGTCCGGTATTTACCTGGACAGTCCGGTATTTTCACCTCCTGTCTGGTAAAAAATTCAGAGAATACCGGACACCTGAGATGTTCGGTATTTTCTGAATTTTTCCCCGGCCAGGAGGCGAAAATGCCAGGCACCTGGCAACCCTACAAACACTCAGCGCCCGGAGGATGCATAAATAGAAACCTTACTACTACTAACAGTTACTGTTTTATTTTGTAGTGCAGTATATTACAGTGTTCTGTGTTTCAGTGCATACCGGTATAGATTTCTGATCATTTTTTAATTGTTTTCCTAATACCGCATGCAAGTTACCCTATTGGACACCAGCTGAATTGCTGTATTTTCCCATCCTAACTGCAAAGGAAATCTGGTCAGTCTCATTGATGAGCACCCTGTAGATTCCACTTACGCAAGCTGCTTAGCATTGCTTAAAAAGAAAGCATGCCCTGTTATATCAAAGAGTAGTAGCCCAATGTTTGTGAGTCTGTAACGCTGAAATGCTGGCTGTTCCCTCTGGGCGGCCCGTGCTACATGGGGAGTGCAGGGCCCAAACAGCCATTTGGGCTCTGTGGTCCCCTGAGAAGAGAGGCAGGAGGGGGAGAAGAAGAGAAAGAGAGAGGCAGGAGGCAGAGGAAATCTGGGGGGGAGGGGGGGCAGAAGGAGGAGGACGAGGAGAGAGAGAGAGAGCCAGAGCAAGAGACCAGAGGCTCAGGAGAGAAGACTGATGTGGAAGAGAGACCTGAAAATCCCGTTTTATGACTGGCTAATTGGCTAGTATCAAAGAGTGATGATTCCATCGCCATCTAATTTACCATGGCTGTTCAGTTTCTGTGAGAGAGAGCTGTAGAGCTTCTCAACTTTGATAGTGAACAGAAAGAACAAATTAAGAAGTCTGGGAAGGTGGAATGATTCGGTATTTATGATAATCTGAAACAAATACTTGTGAGGAATTTTTCCACCTTGTTTTATTTTTGCCATATTACTGTAGTATTTAATCCCAGATCTGAAGACAAGGACATGAAGCAAACAAAACACCACTGTTATGCAGCATCCTGGGAAACTAGAGCCCTGAGGTTGCTTCTGAACCTAGGTCAGCCGTAACTTTGCTGCCAAGGTGGGAGGCCTTGTTTTACTCCAAGTGATACTAATCTAATTGGGAGAAAAGAGCTTTCAATAAACTCACTAAATGGATTTTTTTGACAAGCACTAGAAAATTAGATTAGTGGTTGTTTTTGTTAACTGGCTTCAGTAGATTTAAATTCTTGGAGTACAAAAATGCCCATCTTAAAACATAAGATTATCTCATTTGTGCATGTCAGAGCAAATGTCAATATCAGAACATGTTTTGACACTGAATTACTCTGAGGTTATACATTTTTTTCCAATTGTTACTTCAGTCAACTAGCAAAAAAATTGTTCTGTGTAAAACTGTTTGGAGATCTACTATAGTAAGAGGAGCCAAAATACTAGTGATCCAGAGTAGGTTTGGAAAGGAAGCTTTACAAGAGTAATAACATTGTGGGAAAAAATAAATTTGAGCCAAGATACTATGCAGTAAAGCATAGCTCAGTAAAGGCATGAGAGAGAGACATACATACGCAGGGTATGTCTACACTACAAGGCCTCTTTCCCAACAAAACCTGAATTACGTCTACGCTGCAATCGCATTCTTCTGAAAGAAAATTGAAAGAATAGAGGGGTTTTCTGGCATTGGTAATCCTCTTTCAATGAAGAAGAAACCTTTTTCTGAAAGAGCTCTTTTGGAAAAAGGCATGTGTGGATGGGGAAGAGGGAGTTTGTTTGAAAGAAGAGGAAAGAGGAAAAAAGCACAGGTGCCCTGGTGGCCACCCCGTCCATAGTAATCACAGTTGAAATACGAGATAGCGTCCATTCAGTGTGGACGCTATCTTTCAAAAAAGTAGATCACTTTTTCGATGCGCTTTTGTGTCTAGGTGCTCTCTTTCGGAAGAAGTTTATTCAGAAGATCTCTGCCAAAAAAAGGTTTTTCTGAAAGAAGCCTGTAGTCTAGACATAGCCCCTTTCCCCCCTCCTCCCCTCCAACACACACAAAGAGGAAGAGAGACACATGGAAGAAGTTTTTAAAATAGGTTTAATGGTAGTATCATTTTTAAAAATAGTTCAATATTTTACTATTACTCTTTTGTTCCAGGCAAAAGCTCCTTCTCCATAATGAAAATATCCCTGTTATCATGAATACATATTTTAGTCAGAAGGTCCTTCTCAGAGATCATACAGAAGTGAAAGATAAGACACGTAGTCCAGAGACGTTGCATATTAGAAGGAACATTATATCTTTGGCACAAATATTCCGATTAAATGACCTCAGAGACAGTCTGCCCCAGGAATCTGCAGTTAATCAGGTAAGATTCATTTTGTTTGAAGTTTAGCACTTTGTAATAAGTTGGTGACCAGATGTTTGCAAATAATAATAAAAACAGAAATATTGAAATGATGATGTACTTTCTTGCCCTCTTGTTTTGCCAATACTGAATAATATGTGCTGTTTGTTTTAATACTGTTTTACAAGTAGAGTCTTTTGGCCAGCCAAATGCTGAACTGCTTTGAGATTATTTTGTTGTGCCTCACTCTGGTGCTAAATAATATTGCTGACATTATCACAGCTTTGAAAATTGTTGATTCACTCTTATTATTTGTAGCTCAGTACCCAGTCTAATTTTAAATAATGACTATTTTCTTAATAAATTAAGGTGTTTCTATTCAATACTCTCACTTTTGAGCCTTCTTCCCCTTCCTCTTCATCCTTTCTTTAAAACACCAATGATTGCCTTTAATAGAAGGAAGATCAAGATTTTTAAAAATGACCAGTGATTGTGGGTATCTCAACATCAGATGCATAATTATGACTCTTTAAAGAGATGTGGTTGATAGTGAACGTCTAGCACTTTCTGGTCTCTTGAAAAGTATTTGTTGGATGCAGGTCTGCCAACCAGGGCGGGTGGGGGGCAAAGCAAGCAGTTGCCCCGAGGCCTGGTAATTCAAAGGGGCCTGGTGCTTCCTGCCTCTGATGCTGCTACTGCAGCACCAGCTGGAGCCCTGGGCCCTATTAATCGCCTCTGAAGCGCCATGTGGCATGCTCCGTGTGGCTCTGGAGTTTGTGGGAGGGGCAGAGTTGCAGTCTAGGTGGCACAGAGGGCTAGCTGCCCCACCGCTGCCCCTTTTGCTTGAAGCCATGCTCCTTCTGGAGATGCAGTGCCGTCATCATCTGTGCCTGTGGAAGCTTATTCAGCCCCTCTGGTTGGATGCCCAAAAATTGAGGCACCCAAAATAACTTGTCACTTTTGAAAATTTTGGTGATAGTCTCAGATGACTCCCTTGCAAATCCTTCACTGTTCTCATCATATCTTACCCCCTTTTTTAGACCTGGGAATGAAAATTTTAGATATATCAAATCAAATCCTAATTGGATTTCACATTTTTAACCAATTTTCACTATAGATGTGCTGAAACCAGAATAATTTTCTCATGCTTCTACTCTTTGGCGGAATCAGAAAAATATGGGTCTTTTATCCAAACCATCATTGGCTTTGTTTTTTCAAAACTAAACACAACAAACTTCTAAAAACACAAATACTTCCTTTGAAATTTCAGCTTAGAAGTTCATTGTGTCAAACTTTTTTACATGGGGCATTTTTGCACCAGTATAGCTTCTCTGCAGAGGCACAAATCTCTTTATACATTGATTCAGTGCATCTATAATGGAATTTGTACTGGTCGCAAGTATGTTGATTTAGCTACTCAAGTGCACAAAATTAATAATGAGCAAGGACTGAGTGGCCATGAATCCTTTCTGGTAACAAGTGCCCTTTTAACTGCACGATGTTCTTGGAGATAGTCCTGGTCCTCCTGATGTGAAAAGGAATTTGGTACTAATTTGACTAGTATCAGGACAAATCCATGTTTACTAGTGACATCTAGTAGAGATTAATTTTATATAGTGTTTCTCTAAAAGCATACTTAAAATAGGGTTTAGAATAAGGTTGTCAGAGGAGAGACTGAAAAAAGCAACAGTTTCGCTATAAGAGATGGCTAATGTTTAAAATGGGGATGAATGTGATTATTGATATGGACTGAAGCAGCAGACAGCATGGTTTTTATTCCAAAATAAATGTACTTTTTTACAGTTGTAGTGAAAGAATGGAAAATAGATTAGGGTTCCCGTTTTCCTCATCAGTAATCTGGATCCTTTGAAATTGTAGCTCAGCAATTTGAGAGTTGAATTATTGCTTTCTAAAACTCTGCACCCTTTTATTTTCCCTTAATTTAGAAGTTGTAGAGTGTCTTGAAGATGACTGCTGCAATTTAAAAGGAAGTAATAGAACTACCATGAACTAAGTAAAACATAAGACAGGGTGAAAAATACTAATGCTTATTCATGTTCTTCCCCGTTAACTTTATCACACATGAACTGAATTTCATTAATGGGGGAGACGGGTTGCGGGGGGGCAGCCGTTATACACAAGAGAGTGTGCTGAACTGTAGGATTTTATTTAAAATCCTAGATAAAAGCATGGTACGTAAGTTATAGTTTATATGTACTAAATACTTTTATAATAATCTTGTGATGCTTTTCTATAATGAATCTTTGTTGAATTTTACTTTGCATCACTACATATTTTCATAGTACATAAAGTAATTTAGTTTATGACTTTGTCTTTACCAGGTTGCTTGTACCAATACTATTATACCAAAGACTGTACAGACTCACAGCAACGCTGAGTCCAAACTACATCCCTTTGTACTCAATGCCCCAAATGACTCTCTCCTTGAAGTAGTGGAAAGCCAAGGAGCAGCAGGGTGGAAAGAAGTGCAGGTACAAGTGGTGGTCCAAAGGGTGTACTATCTACCAGGAAGAGAGGGTTTCAGATGGCAGCATCAAGGAAATAACCCAATTAATTATGGAACACCAATTTTAAATTCAGATCTGCCAAATGTTAGGTGAGTAATAAAATACTTGCAAACTGGTCTAGTAGGGTTATATTATGAGGGATACAAAACAGAAGAGAAACTGAATCTGGCATTCTGATGCCCTCAGCTAATAATGGCTAAATATAATAAGTAAGTCATAATGTTCTAGTTGTAATAATATTACACTTGCCCAAATACACACAGTTTCAGAGCACCGCTGATGTTACATGAGTGGGAGGAGGAGCTGACCTCTTGCCAAAGTTTCTTGTGTTGCAGCAAGTTTTAAAATGAATGACTGAATAATAATTTAAAATAGATTATTATTATGTGCCTGTCTTATATTATTACATTACATTGTACAATTACTACTTCTGTTACCTAACCGTTGCTGAACTCCTTTCAATCTTTAAAGCACTTAACAAATTATTGTTCCTCCTATAACACCCTTTTAAAATAGGAAAGAAAAATTAGCTTTATTTTATATGTAAGCGGGGGAATGGTCCCGCTATTGTGGGGAACTTTCCTGGCTTCTATACCACCCCGGTGAAATGGACCAGCGAAAGGATCTGAGTCCCCGCTCCCACTTCCTTTACCCCACGGCCTCCCTGATCCTGAGGTCTCCTCCTCCACTCTCCTGAATAGCAGAGCCCTTGAAACCCCAACAAGGCTGGGCCCAGGTTTCCTAGGGCTTAATCCCCGACCTTGTAGTCACTAGGGGCAGGAGTTAGGGTGTCCCCACTCCGAGGTGCTCTCTTTACACTGCAGGCCGCCTTGGCCTAGTGATCACTTCATAAGGTTCAAAGCAAATACAATTTATTAAACATCAACAGATTAAAGAGAATAGAATAAGAAAAAAATGAGAAGTGTTCTCATTTAACCAACAGCCCTGCTCTGTAGCACAGGGACATCAAAACAGCAGACTGCAGAGTGTAAGGACAGTCCACAGTCTCTTCCTTAGAGGCCACTTAGAGGCCTTGGATGTGCTGCAGGGGG